AGAGTACATGGCAGAGATCTTATGCAATGGCATTTGAGGGCTTGCTGTTGCGAACTAGATTGGGTGGGGGGGGGGTCCGCAATTTACTCCCCATTTTCCTAAATCATTTTCTTTTTTGTTTCTTCGGACCTCGTTTATCATTGTTGTTGTTGTTGTTTTTGTGTTTATATGATTAGCTTCGAGGCTTTGATTCCTTACTGCTATTTCGCTTCAAAACCAGAACACAGGGTGAGTGTGCAATGTCTTCTTCAGCTATTAAACTAAACTCGTTGTCACAGACAGGTTTACTTTCATATCAAAAGACTATGAAATAACTCTTTTGTTACTACTTACTCTCTATTATAATTGCTATATTGCTATTGCTATTATTACCATGACCACTATCATCATAATTACCATTATCATCATCATCATTAACTTCAACGTCAGTATTACCATTGATATGTTATCATTATTGTTGTTCTTGTTCTTGTTAACTTTCTTGTTCTTGATGCTGATATTAACCTCGTAATTGATAGCAATATTGATAATTATATCTTTTATCATTACTTTTATCATCATTGTTATCATTAATATTACTATTATCATATCAGAGAGGTTATATATTGACCATTGTTATCTTTATTATCCTAGTTATTATCATTATTATCATTATTATTATCATTATCATTATTATTATTATTATTATTATTATTATTATTATTATTATTATTATTATCATTATTATCATGTATCATCATCATCATTATCATTATTATCCTCATTATCATGTTTAATTTAGGTTTGTTTTGTAAAATGAGTTTTTAAATATATGGATTCCCGATCATAGTGAGTTATTACTATTATCATTATCATCATCTTCATTATCCTTACTGTTCTAATCGGTATTATCATTACCATTATTACTTTTATTAGTATTTTTACCACATTTGTTGTTTCAATCATTATTACATTTTTCTTTATCTATATTTTCATCAAGGCTTTATTTTCATTATCATCATTGTTACTGTTATCAGTCACTATTATCTTTAACATTATCATCACTGTTATTATCAGTACATTTAGGATCCCGGTTATTAATTTTTATTATCATTATCATTATCATTATCATAATCATTGTTGTTATTTTTATTATCATTATTATCATTATTATCATTATTATTATCATCATCATCATTCTTATTATGTTATTATTATTGTTATTATCTATCATTATTATCATAGTTATCATTATCATCATTATCATAACTGTTGATATCATCATTATCATTATTATTGTTTTCATTACTACTATTTTTACTGATTATCATCATTACTTTTATTAATCATTTATTGTTGTTATCATTATCATCATCAATACTGTTATTATTATTATTGTTACTCTCATTATTATCATCATCATTATCATCATACAATTATTAACGCTATTATTGTTAGTATGGCTATTATCATTATTTTCATTATCATTATTATTAAACTCATTATTATCATTAACATCAATAGTAGTAGTAGTATCATTACTATCCTCATTATCATTATCATCATCATTATTATTGTTTTTATCACCCTTACCATTTTTTTATTATCATTATTACTATTATCATTATCATTATTATTGTTTTAATTGTTATCATTGTTTCTATTACCATCATTATCATTATTATCATTATCATCATTATCATTATGATTTTTGTTATCATCACTGTTATCATTATTATCATTATCCTTACTGTTATTATTGTTATCGTTATTATTATTATTATTATTACTATTATTATTATTATTATTATTATTATCATTATTATTGTTGTTGTTGTTGTTGTTGATGTTGTTTTTGTTATCATTATCATTATTATAATTATCATAGTTATGACTTTTATTATCATCATCATTATCAGTGTTACTATCATTAATATAATTATCATTATTGTTATCACTGTTATCATTATTGCTATCATCGTTATCATCATTATTATTTTCATTATCCTTATTAATATCACTATTAATATTGTCAATATTATCATTTTTATTGTTACTTTTGCTATTATCATTAGTATTTTCATTGTCTTTGTTATCATTACATCCTTATTATTATGATTATCAATATAATCATTATTATCATTTTCATTATTATTATTGCTAATATTAATACTATCACTATTATTATCATTACAATTATTATTATGATCATTAATATTATCTTGATTATCATTATCAATATCATGATCATTATAGTTATGAGAATTTATATCTTACCAATATCATATTACAATTTTTTCATATACAAATTGGTATTCTACCCAAATTACTGTTGCTTTATACAATCTTAATACAAATATTACATTACTTTGGTATCGCTGCCACCACCTGGGGTTTAGAATTTGAAGGAAACCCCAAGAAAACCCTGTTTTTACTTACCTAATTTTGATATGAGTAGCCTGACTTAACAGTCTTTATAAGGCTCATGGGGTGGAGTGAATTCCTTCCTCTGTTAAGCATATGTCAAAGGTACAACGGTCAGAAGAACATTTTTAACCAGTAGTTTTTTATTCTGTAAGAAATAACAAATAAGACCTGTACTTTTAAAACTTTTCGCTAGGGGTGGCATTCGATTTCGCCGGGCGATCGGGAATTTCGTACTGTTAAAAGCATGGCAAGTGTTCGCCAGGTGATCTTACACCAGGGCTGGTGTTCAATCACATTGGAACAGCCTGGTGAAGCAAAGTTGCAATAACACTTTCTTTCAAATTACAAATCAGTAACATATCTGTGTAAAATATGATATGGGGATCACATTGTAATTTTAAAGTCTCTGAAAATTACAATTTATTATGAAATAGTGTATATACATAGCTTTTTCAAGACTATCAATTTTCCAGTCGAGAACAAGACAACTGTATTCCTGCCGCCCCGAGATCAGTTATTTTTATTTTTGTTGTTATTTTAGTTGTAGGGATAATTTTCTTTCCACAATTGTTACCAAAAGTGTTTTGATAAAGGCATGTTTACTACGGGATACAGAAACATAACTGTTATGCTCCACCGCTCTGCAATGGGGCGTGTCTAATGATACCCTTGTAGGCCTACAGTTCAATATTCTATATGTTAGGTATAGGAAAATGGTTATTTTTTAACTCCTAGTATAGTAAAGTATAAAGTTGATTTTTGCATAAAAGTATACAGTTGATATAGTATAGTATAAAGCATAAAGTTATATTTGTTATAGTATAAAGTATAGTATAGTATAAGCTTTATAGTTAACTTTGTTAGAATATAAAGTTAATTTTTAGCTCCTTTGTTGTAGTATAAAGTGAGTCTATTACGGAGATAACATTTTCGTCTTCTCCCGAGGTTAATAATTAACTTTAGGTTATATTAGGTAAGGTAGGGTTAGGTTAGGAATTAACATGGCCTCTATATAGGTCTTTATGAGGTCCCGAAGGACTTTTTTATCCAAAATGATAATAGGAGACGACCGACAAATTTCGATGCTGGTTGCCATGGTGACGCCGTGCACTGCAGATGTAAACAAATTTGCATTTCCCGCGTTTTTTTCAGCCGCCGAAGCGGTAGATTTAGAAATACAAGATGTTAGCGCCTGGCGATCGTCCGCCTTGGCGAACGTTGGGTTTTAAGGTAAGGTCTCCCTCACTCAGATGATCGATCGCCAGCATGGGCCAAAGGTTTTAAAAGTACGAGCCTAAGAGTTAGCATATCTCGATGTATATGTAAACAATATTTTAAGAAACCAAGTAATATTACCCTGTACTAAATTCATTAAATTCTAAAGTTAACTTTGACCTTACCACCCTCCATTTCCCAGTATCTTTTCTTTCTTTAATTGTACATTAAGTAATCAATCCTTCACTTATTTCTTTCATGTTCCTTTCTTACAATTTACTCTGGTCTTAATGTTCCTTTCGCAGTTCATTACTTGACCCAATAGGAAATGTTTCCTTCGATTAATTCTGTTGTTGTATCTACCCCCCCCCCCCTCTAAAAAAGATCTTTAACAATTATTTCCTTGCAATAAAGTGGACGTCATGCTGTGTAGCATTGCCGACTTTCCCTTACTTTTTTTTCCTGTGTGACCCAACCTTTTTTCCTCTCTGTGGGTGGTAATGCCAAAATTCCATCTTGGTTATCACATTTCAGAACATATGGATTCATAATTATAATAATTCATTTGCCAAGCATCACTACCTTCAATATCCGGGTAAAACACGATCTTTGATATTAGCTCGTAATTTACCTGTATGCTGGGCGAAGCCACGATTCCCTCTGACAAACTTGATAATAAAACTTTCAAATTTCACCCACTGAATTATGAATACCTAAACAAACCAACCATTTTTTGATAATCATTTGAATTTACTCTATCAATCATAACCCTAAGTTTTCCTACATTGTTATGCCTTTAAAATAAAAATATGAAAAGAAATGTTTTGATAGGGTCCATACATCTTTACAGTTATAAACAACGCATATCTTAAGTGTCGAATCAATATCGATCTCGACATTTCAAATATTTTTATTACTATTATCATAATCGTTATTATTGTTATAATCATTATCACTATTTGTTATTATCATTATTATTACTATCACTATCATTATCATTATCATTACTATTACTATCATTAGCATTAGCATTACTGTTATCATGATTATTATTGTTATTAATATTACTGTTATCATTATCATTATTACACACACACACACACACACACATACACACACACACACACACACACACACACACACACACACACACACACACACACACACACACACACACAACACATATATATTATATATATATATATATATATATATAATATATATATATGTGTGTGTGTGGTGTGGTGTGTGTATGTTTGTGTCTATGTGTGTATATATATGTGTGTGTGTGTGTGTGTGTGTGTGTGTGTGTGTGTGTGTGTGTGTGTGTGTGTTGTGTGTTGTTGTATTTGTACTGATGAATCGACCCGCGCGTACATATGGAAGCCTGGGAGTCTCTTCTCCGGCGGCCCCTGGCAACAACCGGGCGAGCGCGCGAGGCTCCGGCCGGCAGTCGGCGAGGTCGGGTCTCCGGCGCGGCCTCGGTCGTGGCCTTCGCGGGACATCTCTCGGGGGACGCTGCAGTGTCAAGGGCGGCGGCGGTGAAGGGGACGCCGCCGGGTCCTCGCCGCTCAGCAGGGGCGCTCCCGATGGACGAGAATCACGGTAAGGTAGGGTAGGTTAGGGTAGGGTAAGGACTTCGTTACGTTATGTTAGGGTTAGGGTTTGGTGTTGGGGGGGGGGGGGAAGGCAAGGATAGGGACGTCAGGTTAGGTCTTCTTGGGGGCAGGAGTTCGGGCAGGAGAGGGGAGCAGAGGAAAGGCTAGGCTAGGCCGTGTTAAGTTAGGGCATAAAAGTGCACGAGGGTCATAATATCAATGACGATTTTCATAGGAATAATACTAATACTGTAGTAAAGGCTGTTCGCCTTGGTAATTGTGATAGTAATGATGATTGATATTTTTATAATGACAATAATGATACAGCTGATTACAATGATGATAATAATGTCAGTAACCTCAATAATGATAGTAATTTTAACACGGACAAATGAAAACAGCAGTAACAACAACAATCAAAGAAAGGATAATTATAAGGAAAACATTAATAATGCTAATGACAACAATGATACTAACTATAATGATAATAGTGATAAGTAATGATAATGATAATAACAGTAGTAACTAGAAGCTCTCAGAGAGCGCATACCTCCGCAAAAGGGGGACTGATGCAATAAAAAATATTCACCCTTGAAAAAGTACGTTAAAATCACCTCCTTTTCAGGTATGCTGGTGACGTTTGTGTTTCCCAATCTCCCAATGCTAATGAATCCTTTAAAACAAATCCTTGCTCCAGATCATGATCCGCATCTCCACCAACCGAAGTTGTGCTAGGACACACCTCTGATTAAAAAAAGAATCATAAAAATCTGTTCATAACTTTTTGACTTATCCTGATAACCAACTAACCAACGATATCAGAACATAACCTCCTTGACGGAGGTAACGACAATGATGATGTGAATTGATTACGTTAAAAATGATAATGATAGAAGTAGTAGTAGTAGCAGTAGTAGTAGCACTAGTAATAATAATGATATTCAGTATGATAACGATAATAATGATAATATTGATGATAATGATAATGATATGACAATGATGATGATGATAATGATATTGATAAAAATATTGATAATAATGATGACAATAATAATAATGATATTAACAATATCACCGATAATGATAGTGATAATAATAATAATAAGGATGATACTAATGATAAAATGGTATAAGAAAGCTCTAAAATGGACAGAGAAATTTAAAAAAAACGTTTGTAGAACATTTAAAAGTACGAGAAAGGAACCAACTTTCTTACAACACAACACGAGAGAACAAAAAAAAAATCCCACAAAAAAAGGAAAGGTAAAGAAGTACCATGAATATTTATCAGATATTAGAAGAAGGAAAAAAAAGTGAAGCCCTTCTTTGTAAAATAAGAGTTAAAACATATGGGTTGTCCTGCACCGCCCATGTAACAATTATGGGTTACCTACAGTTGGATGGTGAAAGTCCACAGCCCACAATCCGTTCCCTTGGCGTTCTGTGGGTTACCTGTGAACCAAATCACAAACTGGAACGCGCATGAACAATGTGTGTGGAATAATGATGTAGGATGGAACAGATATGCAATATATGCTATTCATACAGGAAAAGTGTGTGTGTGTGAGTGAGTCAGTGTGTGTGGGGAGGGGGGGGGGAGTGTGCGTGTAAGTGAGTGTGTGTGTGTGCATGTTGTGTGTGTGTGTGTGTGTGCGTGTGTGGTGTGTGTGTGTGCTGCGCCTAAAAGCGTTTATGAAAGGGAATTCTGTGAACAGTGAACGAGTGTTTTGGGTGGGAATGTGGTTTACCATTTTTGTGTATCAGGAATGAGGCGTTTTCTTCGTTTCTCGTGTTAGATGCAAATTCATGTCGCTTGAAGGAGTTCGAGGGCCAGACAAACCCTTTCTCTCTCTCTCTCTCTCTCTCTCTCTCTCTCTCTCTCTCTCTCTCTCTCTCTCTCTCTCTTCTCTCTCTCTCTCTCTCTCTCTCTCTCTCTCTCTCTCTCTCTCTCTCTCTCTCTCTCTCTTCTCTCTCTCTCTCTCTCTCTCTTCTTCTCTCTCTCTCTCCTCTCTCTCTTCTCTCTTCTCTCTCCTCTCTTCTCTTCTCTCTCTCTCTCTCTCTCTCTCTCTCTCTCTCTTCTCTCTCTCTCTCTCTCTCTCTCTCTCTCTTCTCTCTCTCTCTCTCTCTCTCTCTCTCTCTCTCTCTCTCTCTCTCTCTCTCTCTCTTCTCTCTCTCTCTCTCTCTCTCTCTCTCTCTCTCTCTCTCTCTCTCTCCTCTCTCTCTCTCTTCTCTCTCTCTCTCTCTCTCTTCTCTCTCTCTCTCTCTCTCTCTCTCTCTCTCTCTCTCTCTCTCTCTCTCTCTCTCTCTCTCTCTCTCTCTCTCTCTCTCTCTCTCTCCTCGGTAGACTGGTAAATGCACAGACCCCTTGTCAACCTGCATGGTTTTGTCTGCTTGGTTCCTTGTCAACATAGTGAGTGGTAGTGAGTTGGGTGAGATGTAACAATAGGCTGATAGAGAGATTAGTGGAAAGATAGTGAAAACAAAGAGAGAGAGAGAAAAGAATACATTATGATTTATGAGATAAGGTGGCAAATTGCGTGCTTTCTCTCCCATTATTTCTTTCACGTTTTTCTGTTTCCAGCCAATCACATAATTCTAAGCTGATCTGAAATGACCGCAATGAATCAACTCATAAGTGTGTAAGTGGCACACCCTGGCTGCATTGGAGGGGAACGTGCTCATGACTGTAGGGAGATAGAAAAGGGAGAGGAAATGAGAAGAAGAGAGACAGAGAGAAAGAAAGCGGCTGATCGAAAAAGGCAGGTCTATACTGTGTTTGTCTTATCAAAAAAAAAAAAAAAAAAAAAAAAAAAATTATTAAGTAGTGTTGGTGGAAGAATGGTATGGCTTGGTGGTCGAGTTGTGGGAGGTTTTCCCTCAGCTCTAACTCCAGGACTCGGTCCTAATGAACAGGACCGGGCTTTGTCCGAAACTAAGTAAGTCTTGGATCGAGTCCCAGATTCATTCGTCTGACTCAGTGTCGACCTTGTTCATTATTGAATGAGTTAAAAATTTCCTGAAATGAACCATTGCACGCCCCGTGGACCACATTACCCTTACACACATGATGGGTCTTCGGGCAAACCAAACAATATCATTGTTTTTGGTAAAAAAAAAAAAAAAAAAAATACACACACACACACATACACACACACACATCTATATATATAGATGTGTGTGTGTAGATAGATAGATAGATATAGATATCATGACACGATGACGAGACAGCCGTGAGTTTCGCGCGTTTCTTGTTCACCCTTGGAGGTGCGGGGGGCGGGGGGGGGGGATGTTGAGGCAACGTTAATAGGGGTTGAGTTCTTAAGAGCTTCATGATCGTACAAGATTACGTATTCTCATCAAGACTTGCTTATGTTTTGGTTTTGTTATTTCTATCACTATTATTATGATCATCTTTATTATCATTGCCATTGCTTCTACCATTATAATCGTCATCATTAGTATTGTTATTGATTTTATTTCTTAGATATTTTCATTATCATTATTGTAGTGAATTTCCCCTGGCCTCTGCTTTCCAAATAAGTGTATGGCGGGTTGTCTTGTGTACTGGTTACGTTTTGAGAGTTTGTGTGAAATAAATGTATAATATGGATGCTCTTTTTATGTTGCCTTTTAGTCAGCCAGAGACGTTATTTCCTTCTTTTATTGTGACTATGGGATCACTCTTGACTCACCGGAGAGTCATTACCAATTCCGCCAAATCCACATGGACATTACCTGCAGTTGGGTAACACGCTCCCAGACCAACACCTGTGACCCTTCGGTGTTTATGATTTTCCAATACAATTGTTAGTCATTCCTGCGGATGCCATCGTACTCGCAAGGATCATGATTACCTTCGCAAAGAATGATTACAGTTTTTCCCTTTTCTCGCTATTCTACTTATTATCTTTCTGTCCACTCTCTCTTTCTGCCCCAGCCATCCCCCCTTCCCCCCCCCCCCCTTCTATCCGTCCCTTCCCCTCCCTTCTGCCCCCTCCCCTTTCTGCCCCCGCCCTTCCCCTTCTTCTCCTCCTTTTATCCCTCCCTTCTCCTCCTTTCCGTCCCCCTCCACGTTTTACACCTGAACCTTTGTCCTTCTTCCCCCCTTCTATCCCTCCCTTATCCCCCCCCACATCCTTCTGTTTCCACCCCCTCCCCTTCTGCCCTCACCTCTCCCTTCTTCCCCCCCCCTCCCCTCCTGCCCTCACCTCCCCTCCCCCTCCCCCCCCTTTCTGCCCTCACCTCCCCCTTTCTCCCCCCCTCCCCCTCCCCTTCTGCCCTCACCTCCCCCTTCTCCCCCCCCCCTCCCCCTCCCGTCCTGCCCCTCAAGTTCTCCAGAGCAGCCCTTTGTGTCCACGTGACCCACTTCCTGTCATGGCGGCCGAGATTTAGGTTGCAAATCCTATGTCTTCGTTTAGAGTTAAATGTCAAGTAGTGTTGATATCCTTTCGCATTTCAGTTTCACTGCTTCTAATGAAATTCGTGTGCAGCGAAAACGTATATGCGTATGTCCTGTATTTATTTGTGTTTATAAGCACGCTTAAATTTACCCATATAATTTTACACGAATTTCGGATGTAAAATAGTGAGAAGAATAAATAGTGGAGAAAAGTAAGCAAATAATGTTTCTATCTTGCGCCCCCCCCCCCCCCCCCGCCCCCGCCCTCGCGGACGGCAGGACAGGGCTGCTTACCTCGTGGGCGGCAGCGTGACGGGCGCCGCCGAGCCGAGGGATATGGACACTGGTCGCATTTGTTTCCTGTTCGTGCTTTGCCTTTGTTTTTTCCTAACGATGTAGAGAATGGTTCAGGCCTCAACTGATTCACATATATATAATATATATATATATATATATATATATATATATATATATATATATATATATATATATATATATATATATATATATATATATATATATATATCTATCTCCATATCTATGTATATACACACACGTGCGTATGCGTATACGTGTGTGTTTATGTATGTCTGAATATAATGATTTCATGTGTGTATTTGTGTCCCCTGATCCCCCGACAGAGCACACGAGTGCACGCAGCACACAAAATCCCCCCCATCCCCACCCCCACCCCCACCCCCGAGCGGTCGCCTGCCTCTCGTCCAAAACTCCCGTTGCACCCCCTCCCCCCCCCTCCCTCAGGGCTGCAACGAAAGCTGGTCCAGGTCAAGGGAATGCTACCTAGTTTCTTCTTATATAAACCACGAATGAATACTTTCCTAGAATTCTGTGCGTGAGTTATCCAAACGAAATATAGGTTGGAACAAACATATTTTTCCAAAAAAAAAAAAAAAAAAATGAAGGTGTGGCAATCACATTTCCTTAAACTCGCGTGGACGAATTCTCCGTAAGATTTTGAATTTAACGGACATCGTGACTTCCTTGTTCTTGTGGCGACTTTAAAGCGCACACTCAGAGTCCGACAATGTCGAAACGGCCAGCAAATATGTGAGTTTGTATGTGCACGCGTGTGATCTACGCTCTCTACGTGTATGGATGTTTGTATGTAACATCCATATATATATATATATATATATATATATATATATATATATATATATATATATATATATATATATATATATATATATATATATATATATATATATATATATATATATATATATATATATATATATATATATATTATATATATATATATATATATATATATATATATATTATATATATATAATATCATATGTGTGCATACATA